CCCATACCGCGTGCATGTTCTCTCTCAAAAATAAATAAATCTTTAAAAAAAGAGTATCTTGGTTATTTTCAAGTTTTGGCAATTATGAATAAAGCTGCTATAAATTTTGTGTGTAGGTTTTTGTGTGGATTTAAGTTTTCAGGACATTTGCGTAAATAACCAAGAAGCATGACTGCAGGATCCTATGGGAAAAGTATGTTCAGTTTGGTAAGAAACAGTCAAACTGTGCTCCAAAGTATGCTTTACCATGTTGCATTCTTACCAGCAATGAATGAGAGTTCCTGTTGCTCTACATCCTCACCAGCACTGGTGCTATCAGTGTTCTGGATTTCAGCTTTTCTAACGTGTGTGTAGTGGTATCTCATTATTGTTTTAATATGCAATTCATTAATGATGTATGATGTTGAGCATCTTTTCACATGCTTATTTGCCCTCCGTGTATTTTTTTAGAGAGGTGTGTGCTCAGATCTTTGCCCATTTTGTAATCTGGTTGTTCATTTTCTTACTGTTGAGTTTTAAGAGTTCTTTGGATATTCTGGACACCAGTCTTTAATCAGATTATGTAATATGCAAATATTTTCTCCCAGTCCGTGGTTTGTCCTCTCATTCTCTTGACATTTAACTTTGGTGTTTTTTTTTTTTTTAAAGCTTATTTTCTAAAGAATTTTTCTTTAAACTGAGGTATATATTTTTTTGATATAAAAGAACTAAGGGGTGCCTGGGTGGCTCAGTTGGTTAAGTGTCTGACTTTTGATTTTGGCTCAGGTCATGATCTCAGGGTTGTGAGATCTAGCCCCACATTGGGCTCTGTGCTGAGCACAGTCTGCGTGAGAGTCTCATTCTCCCTCTGCCCCTCCCCCTGCTGTGTGCTCTGTCTCTCAAATAAATAAAATCTTTTTAAAAAAGATTTATTTATTTATTTGACAGAGAGAGGCACAGTGAGAGAGGGATCACAAGCAGGGTGAGTGGGAGAGGGAGAAGCAGGCTTCCCACTGAGAAGGGAGCCCGATGTGGGGCTCGATTCCAGGACCCTGGGACCATGACCTGAGTCGAAGGCAGACGTTTAACGACTGAGCCACCCAGGCGCCCCTCAAATAAATCAAATCTTAAAAAAAACCCTAATATAATCCATGTCATAAAATTCACCCTCTAAAGTTTAAATTCACTGGTTTGCACAAAGTTGTGCAACCATCACCACTATGTAATTACAAAAAATTTTCATCACTCCAAAAAGAACCCTATTATCAGTCATTCCCATTCCCCTCTCTCCTTGGCAACCGCTAATCTATTTTGTCTCTATGGATTTGCCAATCTGGACATTTTCATATAAATGAAATCAGAATATGTAACCTTTTGTAACTAGATTCCATTACATTTTCTTAAAAAAAGATTTTATATATTTGAGAAAGAGAGAGAGCAAGCATGAGCAGGGAAGGGCCAGAGGGACAAGCAGACTCCTCACCGAGCACGGGGCTTTACCTGGGGCTCAACGTGGGGCTCTACCCCAGGACCCTGAGATCATGACCTGAACCGAAGTCAGATGCTTAACAGACTGAGCCACCCAGGCACGCCTGGATTCCATTACATTTAACATGTTTTCAAGGTTCATCTCCATGTTGTCGCACAAATCAGTACTTCATTCTTCTTATGGCTGAATATTCCATTGTATAGATATACCATTATTTTATCTATTCAGCAGTTTGATGGACATTTGGTTTCCACTTTTTTGCTTTTTAACATTCATGTAACAAGTTTTTGTGTGGGTGTGTTTTATGTCTCTTAGGTATATATTTGGGAGTGTAATTGCTGGGACAGATGGAAACTCTATGTTCAATCTTTCGAGGGATTGCTAGACTCTTACAAACTGGTTGCATAATTTTCCATTCCCAATTCTTCACATCCTCATCAACACTTGTTATTGTCTATGTTTGATTATAGCCATTCTGGTGGGTGTGTAGTGGTATCTCATTGCAGTTTCGATTTGCACTGTTCCCTGATGGTTAATGATGTTTTGCTTATTGCCCATTTGTACATCTTCTTTGGAGAAATGTATATTCAGACCCTTGTCCTATTTTACAATTAGGTTGTCTTATTGTTGAGTTGTAAAAGTTCTTTCTTTACTCTGGATACTAGACTGGCCAGAGAAGGATGGGGGTTTTGAAGGAAGTGCAGTTACTGTTGATAAAATTTAGGACGTGACCATGACATAGGTGATTTAAGTGAGTGGGGGCAGAAAAAGATCATTAAATATAAGGAAAGCAGGATGTTGGATAAGTCATTCATGGGAAGTTAAAGCCACCAAGAATGATGACATGTGTGGGGAAAAAGAGAAAGTGATACAGGGGCTAAAATCTTCTCTGCATGAGGGACAATAGTTGACAGTTCAGTAGAAAGGGCAATGACACAAGGGCTGGAATAGTCAAACTGCTGAATTTTAAAAGCTGGAAGGAAGAATGAGAAATAAGCACAGAGCAGCAGTGGGGGGCTCATGTCCTGGTTCTGACAATAAAGCAGCCTCCACCTAGGAGGGCTACAGGGGAAGCAGCCTCTTAGGGGAAAGCCAAAGTAAGCAATGCCTTCAGCGGACAATTAAGGTGAAGAGATGAAGCAAACATTCCAATGAGAAGGTGCTTATACAGAATTTGATTACAGAAGGGAAGTACTGGAGGGCATATTAGAAGGGTTGGGAAGGAGAGCAGTTTGTGATGTGGTGGTGGATCAGGTTCAGACTCTTGGGATTACTGTGACAAACCTGTGAGGCATGGTGGGATTAGACCCGAATGACTCTTAGAGGATGGTGAGCAAATAATTCCAGGACTGTGGTCGAGGCTGCATCCTTATTTCTACAACTGATTGTGGACTGGAGGTAGGAGTAGGTGGGGTGGCACTCTGGTGACTTCCCTCCTCTCCTACACATTCCATATTCCCCTTGCCCTATGTCATCTCCTTAGATCATGAGTGTTCTTTGCCCAGTGGGTGACCCAAATCTTTGTTCTTTAAGAATCTGAGTGGTCCTAGTATCTAATATCTAGTATTGATTAGGACCACAACAATACAGAAGATTGTTTAAATATAAAAAACACAGAACTAAATCTGAGGAAACAACCTGGAGTGGAGGTTTAATCAAATTCACTTATTCTTTTTTCATACTGTCCTTTCTTGTATTATGGTTTCTAGTCTTCCCTTTATTTCTCTGAACACTTTAACTTATTTTCTTTTAAAGATTTATTTGAGAGAGCGAGAGAGAGGGAGAGAGAGCATGAGCAGGGGGAGGGGCAGAGGGAGAGGGAGAAGCAGACTCACTGCTGAGCAGGGAGCCCCATGAGGGATTCGATCTCAGGACCCTGGATCATGACCTGAGCCGAAGGCAGATGCTTAACCGACTGAGCCACCCAGAAGCCCTCTCTGAACATTTTAAATATACTTTTAAACTCAGATTTTGTTTAAAGATTTTATTTTTAAGTAATCTCTTCATCCAACATGGGGCTCAAACTCACAACCCCAAGATCAAGAGTCATACACTCCACCAACTGAGCCAGCCCAGTGCCCCTCAGATTCTTTTATAATAATTCCTGGAGTGCAAATTTTCCCATTTGTTCCTTTCTTTGCTTGTTTCTTCTCCTCTCTCTTCTTCTAATTTTTCCCTGTAAGCTCATTTTAAATAGGACTTGTTTTTCCATAGGTTCCTTTGTGAAAATTTGATTATGGGACTATCCTTACAGTTTTGTTTCCTTCACTGGCCCAGGACTAGCTTTTTGTCAATTTTTCATTGTGACATCCCAGAAACACTCGGGTATTGTGAATTTGGACCACATTTGCACAGACAGCAAATGTATAAGTTTCTATGTAGATGATTCTTTCTACTTACATCCCTGAGTTATGGTAGATTTTCTTTTATTTCCCTACTGATCACCAGATCAATGAGTGGTGTTCTAGTTTTTATTTCACAAGGAAGTGGTCCTTTGAGACTCCTGTCTTTGTTGAAGTCCTAGCACTCAGCTATTAGGCCTATATCTTGGTCCCAAGTCTGTACAAAACTCCTTAACTTCCACTTCACACATCTTGGACTTTTGGGTTCCCATTCATTTCTGGCACCTTGGGATCTCCCATTTTTAGTTTCAAGCCCAGTTGTGTGTTGAACTTTTTGTTGTTTTTGTTACATACTATTTCCATGTTTGAGGGTGGGAAGGGGATTTGCCTGGAACTACTCCATCTGGTGCATATTGGTCAGAAGTCACCCCAAAACAAAGGGTCTTTTGAAAACACAAATATGGTCATTTCATTCTCTTAGGATGGCATTCAAGGCACTATGAAAGCAGGAAACTTGCCTCTCTAGTTTCATTTTCCACCGCTTTCTTCTTTTCTTCACACCCAGACAGTTAAATTAAAATGAAAAATTATAACTCATCTATTTGTTGGGCTGGATATGACGGCTACAAATAGTGCTCACCTTGTGACAATTCAGTGGAACTGTATACTTGTGATTTGCATATTTTTCCATGTATATCTCAATAAAAGAAGTTTAAGTAAAAGAACATGATTTTTTAGAAGGATAAACGTTTAATCACCTTTCCGATTTTTTCTTTGGTAATTAATTGGTCTATTCAAAGTATGTTTTGGGTGTCTGCTGGGAAATTACCTATTTGCTCTGTTTCCAAATTTGGTGCCACAGAATTCTCCTGAAATTATTTAAAATTTTTCCATATCTACATGATTTCTCATTCCTAATCTTGCACTTTTTTCCTCTTTTTTCTATTTATCAGGCTGAGGTTTTATCTATTTTACTGGTGTTTTCAAAGAGTCATTTTTCTACTTATCCTTTCTCCTTTTTAACTTCAAGTTTTATCTTTATTGGTCTATTTTCTATTTTCTTATGGCTTAAATGTGTTTTTTTTCCCCTAAATCTTTTTGGTTTTTTTTTGAGGGGGGGGCGGGGCAGAGGGACAGAGAGAATCTTAAGCAGGCTCTGTCCCCAGTGTGGAGCCTGACACAGGGCTCGATCTCACAACCCTGAGATCATGACCTGAGCCAAAATCAGATGCTTAACTAACTGAACCACCCAGATGCCCCTTCCTAAATTTCTAAAACAATCACCACGCATCTCTGAGTTTTTCTTTTTGAATAATAAAGGTGTTACATTTTCATTTTCAAGCCCTGTCTCATGCATTCCAGGATACTCAATATGGGTTCTGGGTCTTGCTTTGCCCCATTTGCTCAGGGTCTAATCCTGGCAGATCCTACTGGCTGGCCACAAGAACATGACAAATACACGTGTGCTCAGTGAATAGATGACACTGTTCTGTCCTGGGACCCACTGTGAAGATCTGTGCTCACTGCAGGGCACGCCCAACCATCCGAATACCTGGAGCATCTGTCACATGCTGGCACTGTGTCAGGTCCTGTGAATAGGACAGTGAGCTGGACAACCGAGTATCTGCCCTCTGGGTGCTTACAGTGCTTTCTGGTGACAAAGACAGACACAGAACAAGTAATGCAAGTGAGCTGAATGTTGCCTAGGATGCTATGGAAGCATAAGATAGGGGCCGACATCCCTTAGGAGGTGTAGTTAAGAATTTGTAGAAGTGATACTTAAGTCCCTCAAAATCTGAGGGTCTACCCTATCTCCTCCTCTCCCCTTAGGAAGGTGGCCATTGGGTTTTCTAATACAAAAGTTATCTGGTCTTGAGTTATATGCCTCCTGCTCCTGGCCACAGCTGACTGAACCAAAGACTGATCACCAGGGATAAGAACTTTATCTACTAGGAATGTTCCATATAGGATGGTCACTGACTGACTGCATTAGAGCCTTCAAAGGAGGTCTGAACACCCAACAGAGTGAAAGGAGAAGAAAAGGAGATAGTAGAAGAAGAGAAAAAGAACAGTAGAGTATAACAATAGCCACAAATCCTATGGTACTGGATTGGAACTGCAGGTATCAATGTGAGCTCATGATTTTTAATAATATACATATAGATACAGTAATAAATTCAGAAGTGCGTGTTAACACGAATACACCTATTTCCTAGCTCTGTGTGCAGAAAGGTCCTAGAAGGAATGACACTCCAGTACCAATGAATACACCGAGTGCCTGTTCTCGAGTGCAAGGGACCAGGAGCTATCTGGGAAAACAGCTGATGCCAGGGCTGGGACAGGAAAAATATGAGTGAGCTTGGAACATCTTGTGGCGCTAGAGAGTAAGGAAGGGCTAAAAAAATGATGGGGGCAATGCCAAAACAATACAGAAGCCAACCTGAAAGCGGTCCCAATGGCCAAATCTGGGCCAGTATGAGCAATGAATCAACTACCATAGTGTTATATTATAACCCACAGAATAAAACAAATATCCATTAGTTTATACTGATATAAATAAATTATTGAATAAATATATGGGAGAAAAGAGATAGCTCTTCCCTACAGAATACCAATTAATAAATACAGATGAGATAAGTAAACAGAAAGTCATCATTAGGCCAACACAGCATTAATACTTGTAAGCAAAAACCATCGAAGGATGCTAAAATTCGTAGCAAAAGTTTAAGGACAAATAAGACATTTACACAGCTTCAAAGTATCTCCCCACAAGATTCTTATTAATTTCAAAGGGGAAATCATTAATTTTACAGTGGAGAAACCTGACACCACAGTCACATGATCCAAGTTAATATCACCCCCCCGCTAGAAGGCACCTTTAGAAGGGCACATCGTCACTTCTGGGGTAGTTCTGCCAAAACTGCAGACCCTCAATCTAATCATGCGAAAACAGGAGACAAACCCAAACTGAGGAACTTCTATAAAATAACTGACCTGGACATTTCAAAAGTGTCAAGGTCATGAAAGGCAAAGAAAGGTGGAGGAACTGCCAAGGGCTGAAGGAGACAAAGGAAACATGACAAACGTAACATGGGATCCTGGATTGGACCCTAGACCAGATAAAGGACATCAGTGGGAAAAATGGCAAAATCTGAATGTCTACAGGTTAGTACTGTGTCAATGTTAATTTCCTGCTTTTAATAACTATACTATAGTTTGGTAAGATGTTAATATTAGGAGAAGTGAGGTGAAGGATATAGGAGAACTATTTTTGCAACTTTTTGTAAGTCTATAATGATTTCAAAACAAGTAGCATTAGCAGTAGCAGGAGTAGTAGCAGGAGTAGTAGCAGTAGCAGGAGTAGTAGTAGCGGTAGCAGCGGTAGTAATAGTAGTAGTGGTAATAGCAGTAGGAGTAGCAGTAGTAAAAAGAACAGCAGTTACTGAGGTAGGGAGCAGCAGACAGCTCCCTGAGGGCCTGGACAGTGACTGCTGGAGCATCTGCTGGAGCCCATGTCCTGACTTCTGACTGCCTCGTACCCACCACATTGTTCTGGCATTCTGCCATCACCTAAGGGACTTTAATTCCTGCCTCTATTTTCTGCTTCCTGAAAGAGATTAGCTAACACCAAAAGGAGGGATCCAAAAAGGCCCTGCAGGGTGACGGGGTGTTCATCAATGGTGGCTACTATTGATGGTGCCCAAGGAGGCACCAGGCCTCGCTGTGTCCTGCTAAGCCGGGGCTGAAACGGGGCTCATTTGTGGTATGCCCTTGGGGGATGGTGTGCAGACCCTCTGCTTTGTGACTAACAGGCAGACTGCCCGGGGAGCGGTTTATTCCAGGCTAAGTCGGCTGGGACAGCAGTATAGACACAGAGCTGACGCAGACTCCACGGCCACCTGGGCACAGCCTGATTTCATGCTTTCTCTCCCTACAGCTCCCCGATGTCTGTGTTCGTCTCCTGAAGGAGGCCCCGTAGAGCTGAGCTTGCTTGGTCATTTGGTACTGTTGTCCAGTCCCGGAGCAGAGCAGGGTAGTGACCCACTCAGCCTTCCTCCTCGAGGTGCCTTATACTGGCTTAGTTCCAGAGCTGGAGAAACATGGTCTGGCCTGACACCAGAATGTGTGGTGAGGGGGAACAGCCACCATACGGCAGGGGACGGAGGAGGAGTTCTATGGGTCCCTTCTCCTTGGAATTCTAAGCTATGGGAAAGAGGTAGCTACAGTCTACACTGCACAAACTCTGTGCCTGGGCCTCTGCACTCTTTCTCCACAATCTGTGCAGACATTCTGGGGACTCAGTTGCATGAGGGCCAGCAGAGGGTGGCAGGGCACAGCCTGGTCCCCGTCTTTTCCCAGGCAGATCTGTTCTCAGCGGCCAAACTTCAGAGCTTTCTGGGACCATGATGAAGGTCCAGAGACTATAGACCATGGGGATCATGCTGAAGGACAGAGATAAGGGACCTCCTTCTCTTCCCTGCCTTGAAGGGGATGGGGAGGCAGCCCCTCCCTTGGAGACCTGTTAGCAAGTTTTGGGCCCATAATAAAAGGTCCAGGGGAAGGCAAAATCCCTATTTTTGACTTTGAGGCTGAGGTGGGGTCTTCCGGGGGCTATGAGGAGGTAAACAGGCCTCAGGCTGGGTGGAGAGGAGGGAAAGGGCATGAGGGGAAGATAGGTCAGTTGCCATGCCACAGCTGAGGGGCCTTTATTAGATGTTGAGGGCATGGAGAGGCAGGTGGGTAGAAGCTAGAGGTTGTGGCACACCTTCTCAGGGTGTAGCGGGGCCCGGATGTCCAGTTTGCGGGTCTTGCTGTCCTTGTCGATGATCTCCAGCCGCAGCTTGGGTGGACGCTTCTCAGCCTGGGGTGAGGGCAGTTCGGGGCTCTTGAGCAGCTGTTTGTCTGAGTCCTCCACAGTGATGCGCAGAGTACAGCCCCCCGGCAGCAGGTCTTGTTCATAGGCGGCTGCCAGCTGGTTCACGACACGGCGCTCGACCTGTAGGTGACAGGTGAAGAGCTCATCACTGCTGGGGCCGTGGTCTGGAGCCCAGGCTCTATCACTTACTGCCAGGTCAAGTCAGAAAGCTCTGAGCTTCAGCTTCCCCCTTGGCAAAGTGGGGCTAACCACACACAGCTTGCAGGACTACGCTAAAGACTCAATGACGTCAGTTTCTGAGGTTCCCAACTTAGTTCCTCACTCCTGGCAGGGGTTCATACTTGCTTATCCTCCAGGACCAGGGTTTTACTTGATCATCTTCTGGTTTGGGTTCTGAAGGGGCATCTGCTCTGGGTATGGACTATTCCAGGCTGGGAGCCCAGGGTGGGGCGGGGGCATGGGGGGAAGGAAGTGTGGAGGTGCCTTACTTCTCTCAGGCTCCAGTGCTCACCTCATGCTTGATGGAGCGGGCGCCATAGTGCACATTGTAACCGTCGACCAACACGTCTGCCACCTCGCGGTCCCAGAGCAGTGTGATGTTGTGCCTTTGCTTGGCCTGAGATAGGTCAGATACGAGCATGCCCACATGTGGCCCAGTGCTTTCCATCTCTCACCACTCTGGCCTGAGGCCCGGGACTGTGTGCCCCCAGGGTCAGTGTCCCACACCACTGTGCTCCATGCCTCTAGGGTGGTGGTGCTTCCAACCCCGTGTTCCCTGATTTCCAATGGGCAGATGACCCAACCCCACCCATGGGCAGTTCCTGCTCTTACTCTCTTGGCCCAGAAGTTCAGTTCCTTGTTGACAAGTTGGATGAGCTCTGAGTGGCAGAAGGGGAGGAAGTAGACAATCTCGTTGATTCTTCCCAGAAACTCATCTCTCCGGAAGTGAGCCTGCAGGGCCGGGTTAGGGGTGGGTGAGCTCTGTGACCCAGAAGGGGTAAAAGGAATTACTGGACCCCAGCGGGGAAGACTAAGGATGGCTAAGGGGATCTTCCCACCGGAGACTCCAGTAGGAAGGACAAAGACCTCTTACTTTCAGGATGGGGCGTATCACATTCTCCTTGAAGTTCTTTGAGATGGTTATCTTGTCATTAATCTGGACATCCCCTGTGGAAAAAGAATCATAAACTGCCTACTCCCCATACCTAGGGAGCTCTGGGAACTGTGCCTGCCTCTTGCCCCCATTCATGAAAAGAGCTCTGGCCCTGCCCCCGATGGTCTGTGTGATCCTGGTCATGGTCTCAGGCTCTTTAGGTCTCAGCCTGGTCTCTACTTGAATGAGAGGATTGGACTGGGCACTTCCTGAGTCCCGTCCAGTTCTATGTGCTACAAACACAAAGCCTGAAGTTCCTTAGTGTAGCAGTTGTGTGAAGGAGGGAAAGATGGGGACAAGAGTCAGGACCAAGACTTGAGTTCTGACTTGGAAGAGGGGTTGGAAGGTTCGTTTCCAAATAGAAAGGTGACAGATGTGGCCTCCTGCCTGATGTCATCCTTGCCCCCAGGAGCTGTGCCGTGGTCTGGGTACTTGCCCAGGTGCCCAGACAGCTCAGGCCGTGTGCCATACCAAGGTTTTCGGCGATACGGGTACGGCTCATCTCCAAAGCCTCTTGCCTGAGCTGCAGCGCGTGCTGTGCAATCTCGTCACTGGCCACATTGGAGGTCATGATGAAGATGGCATCCTTGCAGTCGATGGTTTTCCCTTTTCCATCCGTCAGCCGGCCCTGGGAAAGAACCATGACTGCACAGTCAGGAAGTGCTAAGCCTGGACACCTCTTCCAGGAGGTCTCTCCAGAACCCCCAGCTGCTCACTCCTCCCGGTTCTCCCTGCCCTGGGCTGCAACTGTTCCACCGGCTGAGAGTGACTCCAGTCAAGACTGAAGCTCTGTTTATCATCCATCAGTGCCCCTGATTCATCTCTGGCACCCCAAAAGTCAGCCCGATTAAACATGCATCCATCCAACGCACTTTCTTGGAAGCCCAACTGGGCCAGGCTCTGTGTTGGGGCACTGGGGCCTCACTGAGCCTTTGACATGCTTCTTCTTTTTTTTTAAACAAGGTTCCTTGTTTTTTTGTTTTTTTAAGATTTTTAATTTATTTATTTGACAGAGAGAGACACAGCGAGAGAGGGAACACAAGCAGGGGGAGTGGAAGAGGGAGAAGCAGGCTTCCCGCTGAGCAGGGAGCCCGATGTGGGGCTCGATCCCAGGACCCTGGGATCATGACCTGAGCCAAAGGCAGATGCCTAACGATTGAGCCACCCAGGCGCCCCAACATGCTTCTTGTTTAAAAAAAAATGACACTCAAGAAACCAGGAATGACAATTCATTGAGTTAAGTGTTATAAGGGGAAGCCCAGGTCACTGCAGGAGTTCAGAGGAGGGTATTTTATATGGCCATTGTGAAGACTAATATGGTCATGTGGGTTAAAAATCCTTAGTCAGCCAAGCTGTGCAAATGTTCCGAACTATTGTTATGACAGCAGACATGTAATATATATTTGTTGTATCAAAATGAATGAGATGAATTGAAACAGGTATAATCTCTGCAACTTAAAGCCATCCTTTTGCCTGACAGAGAGGGATAGAAAATAAGGCTCCTCCTTTAACCAATGTGGGAAGAGTCCTTGGAATCTTTAGCTCTTTCTAGAAGCGACACAGATGAAAGAAAGCATCTATACTGGAGACAGATGCACCGAGGAAAGAGAAAAGGAGCAACAGCAGGGAGAAGAGACAGAATGAGAGAAGAGAGAAGTATAGCTATCTGGGGCCACGCAGTTCAAGGGCGAGGAGCTCCCACCCACTCAGCAAACAACAAGGCTGTATCACTGTACAACAGTTCTTTACAGTCATTTATGACAAAAGCAACGGTCAGGGCCTCGCTGAGCAGAACTGACGGAGTAACAACAGTGGACAACAACGGAGCACTTCTCCTTGCACCACAGGTACCCTGCTTCGTGTTCTCTGTGTCCTACTGCACTCCTCCCACCAAGCACAATTCCTGCCAGGCCAGAGGACATGGCTCTGAGGACACGTCACTGACCCCAACCTGTCTGCTCCTGCCTGCCCCAGCCTCAGCTGGTAGCTAGTCCTCCTCAAGCATTTCCCTTTCCCTGGTGGTATGGACCTGACTCAGGCTCAGTCCTTGCTTCTAAAGCCAAAGCAATGGCAGACCAGCCCTGGCCCCCAGAGGCAAAAGGAGAAGGGATGTGCATTAACTTAGTACCTACTCCATGCTGGGCATGGTACCTGGTGCTTTTTAGCCTTGCTTTATACTGGCCCTTGGCACAGGCTTCTTAGATTTGTTTAATTTGAGAGAGAGCACGTGAGCAGGGGGAGGGGCAGAGGGAGAGAAATCCTCAAGCAGACTCCCTGCTGAGCATGGAGCCCAACATGGGGCTCGAAAGGGGCTCAATCTCAAGATCCTGAGATCATGACCTGAGCTGAAATCAAGAGTCAGATGCTTAACCGACTGAGCCACCCAGGCGTTCCTCAGGCCTCTTAGAAAGTGTCAGTTCCAAGGGGATCAATTCGAAGGGGCCTTGAGGTCCAGGTCCTGATTTCGGTCCCTGCCTTGGGGTGGGAAGAAGGGAAGGCAAGGGTGCATGTGGATGTTCTTGAGCTTTTGCCATTGGCGTCCCTGATTATGAGTAACAGATCAACAGAATCTACTGAGGCAATTCTGGTTCTGGGGACCTGGTCTCTGTAGAGGGGGGTGTGACCTGGTCTCTGCAGAGGGGGGTGTGACCTGGTCTCTGCAGAGGGGTGTGTGTGTGTGTGTGTGTGTGTGTGGGTGGGTGGGTGTGACCTGGTCTCTGCAGAGGGGTGTGTGTGTGTGTGTGTGTGAGAGAGAGAGAGAGAGAGAGAGAGAATGTGTCCAAATGTATGCATACGACACTCCTCGCAGAGCTCATTCCCGAGGACGGAGTACACACGCTGCTATACTGGCCAGAACAACAACCAGCGGCAATTCCACTCCAGGATCAAAGCCCTGCTTTTTTTAACTGGGCCTGGGGATGGGTCCCAGGTGGGTGAGGGGAGCAAACACGGTGTACGACCGACCCAAGGGGTGACTTTCACAGGGTTCATGTCTCCTCTTCCTCAGAGTCCTTGGCAGTAAGGACTGCCACAGAGTCCTCCCCAGAGAGGGAGCTGTCACTGTGCCACCCCTCAGCAATGACAGGGTGGGTGTGACTGCTACCCCAGGGTTGTAGGGGCTGCCTTCCCACTGCTTCTGTCCTTGGAGGGAGGCACAGGGGCAGGCTCGGCAGGGGCCAGTGTCCTCCTGAGACTTCTGCCCTGCGCGGCTGGCTCTGGGGCCACCTGGGGTTTTACTGAGAGCATTAGGGCTTGGGAGAACTGAGCTGGGTGGGAATGGGGGGGCTTCCTTCATGCCCTGAGACTGGATCAGGTGCCCTTACAACTTATCCTAGTGCAGCACGTACCACAGTGGGCTGAAGTGCTTTTTGCTGCTGGCCTCCCTGACTCATTCATGAACACTGAGGCAGAGACTGTGTATTGTGTGTCCCCTCTGCCCCACACCGAACCACATTCCCTCTTTGACTTTCTTGATAGGTCACAAGGCTCTGTGTTAGCCCTCTCTTCTTCTCTGCATACTATACACCCCCTAGTTGAGAGATCTCATCCTTTCCTGTGGCTTCTCTTACCCTATCTGTGCTGACACATTCCTCAATCTCTGCTTCCAGTCCAGATCTGTCCTGCGCTCTAGACTTCTCCAACTGAGGGCTGGCCTCTTAGACACCTCCACCTGGTCGTCCTTCAGGCATCTCATTTTCAGCAATTTCAAACCTCGGCTCCTCTTCTTCCTCACCAATCGGCTGCTTGTACTCCTGGGCTCCCTGCCTCAGCTGAAGGCAGCAGTGGCCGTCCAGTCACCCAGGCCAGAAATCCTGCAGCTGGCCACCCTCGGCCCCTCCGTCTCCCCTCACATTCAATCCCTGAGTCCTGCACAGTCGGCCTTCTGGGAGTTCTGGCCAGCCCAAGGCCCTGCTTTCGAGCAGGCGTCCCCACATCTAGCCTGGATACTTCAACAGCCTCCTTGCTACTCCCCTTCTTCTTTCCCGTCCATTCTCTCACGGTTGTCTATAGCATCTTTATAAAGTGAGAATCTGGCCATGTTTCTCTCTTGCTTAAAGTCTTTCAAGGCTCCTTATGATCTAACAAGTAAACCCACACTCCTTCGCCTGGGATCATAACTGGTCCCTGCCAACCTTACCCACTCACCTCTACTGTTCTGCTCTCACTTCCGTTTTGCAGTTGCACGGTGCTGAGCAGCTAGAGTTCCCTGGACAGACCAGGATGCCTCATGCCCCTGTGCTTCTGCACAGTAGGTGTCTGCTGCCAGCCCTTCTCCACTCTGTTCACCTAGAACCTCCTCAGTTATCCTTGGAAGGTATGCTGAATTACTGTTGAATTAAGTTACTCAACAAAGCATTTCCCTTGACTTTGTGTGCTCTGGGAGTGGTTGGAGTGAGTAAGACAAGGTCCCTGTCCACAAGAAGCCCATAAGCATAAATCTAAGTACTCTCGGATGGCAGCTTTGGTCAATGGAACCAAGGGCACAGACTTCAGAAATGGTAGTAGGCTGGCAGAGGCTGTAGGAAGGTAGTCAGTGGAGTGACAGCAGCAGGGGACGGGTAGACAGGGCTTATATGGAGGTGGTAACAACTTGGAGGTGGCGCTTGTTGTATCTCAGTCAGTAGCTGCCTTCCCTCTTTCTGGGCCAAGAAGGGCATGAGAGGTACCTCTGCAGAGATGTCAGAAGCGGCTGTGTCCACAAACCCTGAGCTGGGCCCTCCCTTCCTGTGAAGGCTTCCCTGCAGATCTACCTCTCTCTTCTGGCCCTAGCTGCGTGGTAGTTATTATTGAAGCTGCAGGCTCTGCACTGAACTGCCTGGGCTCCCATCCTGGACTCCCTCTTGCCAGCTGCATGCCCATAAGCCAATCACTTCTCTCACTTTACTTCAGTTTCCTCCTCTTACACAGAGGCAGTAACAATAACCACCTTCACAGGGATGGTGGGAGGATTCGATAAATTGATACAAGTAGATGTTTTAGAACAGTGCCTGGCTCATAAAGTCAAAAATATCAACTATTATCATGTCTCCTTTCCATCCATCTACTAGGCAGGGAGCTCCCAGAGAGCAGGACTGGGTCTGGTCCATAGCTGTGTACCTGAATCCCATCAAGAGACTGGAACGAGGTGGGAGGTCTCAGAGCACAGGTATGGGTAACTGAATATGTGACCTTTGAAGGACAGGCCTTCATTCCTCAGCGGCTGGTCTGGGGACAGGGAAGAGCTGGGGAGCTAGGAAGACAGCAATAAAACTGGGGCAGGGACAAGGATGCTGGGCCAGGTGGGGAAGATGATGGGCAGCTGTGGGTATATCTGGATCTGGGTCTTCCTAGCTTGGTACCTGGTGTGCTATTTGGTCCAGGAGAAGTCCCTTCCTGCACTTCATTGAGTACACTTGCGACATGGGACGCAAAACCCCTTCCTGTTGTCCCAGGGCTATAGGGGGCTAAATGGAAAGGTAGGCTGGACTCCATCTGGACACATGTTGGCTAATATAGCTCCTGTATGGGAGCAGGAGAAGCCTCATGCCCAGTTCTGCAAGGCCCCTAAAGGAGGTCAACCCCTCCTACGATCATAAGTCTCTCTCCTCTGCGTGAGGTAAGGAGTGGCAGAGAGAGGGAGAACTGGGACTCTGGAATCAAATGTATCTGTGGCCCAAACATGGTTCCTCTGCACAGTAGCTCCATGCCATGGGCAAGACATTTATAACCTCTCTGAACCTGTTTCTTCTTCTGTAAAAAATGAGGGTTTCTACTCTGCCTGCTATTGTGATGGCTGGCAATGGCGTCTTTAGCCTAGTACACAGAATGTGCTGAAAAAGAAAGGAGTTTTTTTCATTTAGAGCTCACCCCACCAGCAGGAGACTGTCTAGTTTGTGACGAGCCTGGAGCTCCTTGAAAGAAAAGGGCTCCATGAGCCAGAAAGGTTCTTGGAGCTTATCTTGGATCCAGCCTCCTTGTTTGTCACATGAGGCCCCTGATGCCTAGAGATGGAGCAGAGTTGAAACTAAAAATTCAGGTCTGTCCTGGCACCTCTGCTCCATGTCTCTCTAGAAGGCAGCCTGGGCAGCCACAAAATTTCAACTCTTGGGTAGTGCTGGTTTGTCCGCAAGTGCTCAGCCTGGACCCTGGTCCAGAAAGGGGGCAAAGCCACATCTGCTAGGTGACCGAATGTACACATGTGGAAATGGCAAGTGAAGGAGGGATCAGACAGGCCTCTGGGCCCTTGATTCTTACTGTTCATAGCTCACCATACTCCCAGATGTCCCCTACTCCATCCTAGCCCAAAGTGACTTTCACCTCATCAAACAGCTGCAGCATGATGGTGAGCACATCTGGATGGGCCTTGTCCACCTCGTCGAAGAGCACCACAGCATTGGGACACTGCTTCAGCTTCTTGGTCAGCTGGCCACCCTCCTCATGTCCAACGTAGCCTGGTGGGGACCCGATAAACTTGGCCACCTGGAGGAAGGAAGGAAATATACTGGGAAGGCCGTTCTATACTTTTAGTTTCTGATATGGGCATGCACAGGAAAATGGCTTCATTCATTAGCAGTGCCTGTCTCAACAAGGACAGTCAGACTTTTTTCTGGGGTGGTAGGAATCCTGCCGCAATGGAAGAGCCTACAGATCTTCTCCAGGTTTCTTTTTCAGAGCAAGTCCTATGCAAAACAGATCAGTGACCCTCTTGCACACATATGCCCCCAAAGGATGAATCCCAAGGCTGCTGGAATTATCTCAGGTCCATAAGCAAGTCACAACAAAATACCCAGGCAAAGTCTTGTTGACTTCCAGGCCCTCCAAACCACACTTCAGCGAGGACTCTCACTTACCTCATGCCGCTCTTGGAACTCAGACATGTCCAGCCTGATGAAGCCCTGTGTGAAAACAAGCAGGAATCCATTTGGAGGCAGGAAGGTATAGAGGGAAGGGTTAAGGAGGAATGCATTTCAAATATCCCTTAGGCTTTCAGACCACACCAATGCAAGATCTTCTATCCCATTCTCATATATTTTTTGTCTCCTGGCCTCCTTTTCTGTCCACTCATCTCCCGCATGATACCCTCATTCCCTACCTTAATAAACCCAAGTCATGTCCCTGCTCTTCTAAATCTGGCTCAGAATGTCTCTTTTTTCAGGCTTCTACTGGTCTGTTTACCACGTCAGGATGGTGAGGGCATCCTGTGTGTGCTGGAGCCACAGCAGCGAACAAGTCTTGGTCTCCATCCTTGAGGAGAACCCCTCAAGTGGGGCAGGTAGACATGGACAGATTCAGTTACAGTCATGGACAGATTCAGTTATAGTCAGCGTGGACCATGATGAGAAGGAAGGGTGCAACAAATACCCAGCCAGCTCCATGGTGCCCTCAGCTTTGCAGGTCTTTGTGGGTACATGCCTCTTTGTTTTAGATTACGTTTCTTTTGTGCTAAGAAATCTTTTATTTATTTGACACGGAGAGAGAGGGAACACAAGCAGGGGGAGTGGGAGAGGGAGAAGCAGACTCACTGCTGAGCAGGGAGCCC